TTGAATTATGGGGAAACCAGCGGGGATAGAGCCGCTTCGCGACTCTCCCCCGCTGGACCCCGTCTAGGCCCTATAAATCGAGCGCCCTTCCACATAAAGTTACCTTGAAGAAAGGAAAACCCATCTTACATGCAAACCTCTTTGTATTGACATGCGGCGCAAGTTTGAAATGCTAGTCTCAGTATATCTGCGGCGCATGTTTGATCGGCAGGCCGTTACCCCATCCTGCGGCCCAAGCTTGAGGGATTAGCCTCCTTTTTTTGGCCTGTGGCGCCAGCTTGAGCGGCTTGCTTCCAGATTAAGCCTGCGGCGCAATTTGAACGGTTACCTCCTTCTTTAGGCCTGCGGCGCTGGCTTCAATGGTTGGCTTTCTCCCTTAGCTTGCGGCGCTAGCTTGTGCGGCTAGCTTCGTACTGAAGCCTGCGGCGCTAGCTTGTGCGGCTAGCTTCGTTCTGAAGCCTGCGGCGCTAGCTTGTGCGGCTAGCTTCGTTCTGAAGCCTGCGGCGCTAGCTTGTGCGGCTAGCTTCGTTCTGAAGCCTGCGGCGCAGCCTGCACGGCTAGCTTTGTTCTAAAGCCTGCGACGCAGGCTTGAGAGGGAATCTTCATTCTTTAGCCTGCGGCGCTAGCTTGCGTGGCTGGCTTCGTTCTGAAGCCCGCGGCGCTAGCTTGAGGGATTAGCCTGAATCTTTAGCCTGCGGCGCTAGTTTTAGTGGCTAGCTGGATTCGTTAGTCTGCGACGCAGTTTAGAGCGAATGACTTCAGAATAGCGCCTCCCTACAGGAAAATACACTTCGAAACATGCATTCCGAGCAAAAAGCAAAAAAAAAATACGATAGCCGGGGATCGAACCCCCGATAGCAAGATTGGCAGGCTGACACTCTAACCGCTATACCATGAAATGCTTGAGAGCGCGCGCGCAACACCCCTTGTATGCCCCGAGGTGACTGCCGGGAAAGGGGGAGCAAAGGCAATCGGAGGCAGCTCCAATGAGGCAGCCAAACGCGCGAGTGCAACTGGCAAGAATGAGGAAATTTGTATTTTCTCACATTATGCAAATTAGCCTTCCCGGACCCCCAAAAATGAATAAAACCGGCCTTAACTTTGTAAACTTGTATTTTATCGAAATTCTGAAAACGCCATCGGAAACAGAAGGGTCGATTCCCCCGGGTGACGGAGAATTAGGGCATTTTGGACACGGGAAGGCCCTCAAATCGGGCCTCGAAAGTGACATCCACACACACACACACACATACGCGACCAAATTATATAAGGTGGGATACCGACAGTAGACTTACCGACATCTAAAATAGCGAAAATACCATTTCAAAACCATAAGTCAAGGCTTTCGAGATTTGGTCTTGCTTGCTATCTTGGCTGTCGACATTTGATCTCCGAGGGATTTCTGCTGTCGGCATTTCTATCTGGTAGCTTTTTTGACCTAAATTTCGGACCGGTCGGCATATTTACTGGCGGCCTATGCGTACGTGAACTTGGGCTTGTCGGCACATGTCTTGTCGGCACTCCAGTTGTCAGGCCCCAATTTTTAGCTACGAATATGAAGAAATCGCTGAGCTGTGGTGGCTACAGTTTGACTATTCGACGGTCCTGCATTATATTCAGTGGCTGCGATATGTTGTTCCGTGGCTGCGGTACTGGATGACGTTTTGGTAAGTTTTAAGAAATAGAAGTTTTGTCGGTCTGAGGAGATAATTGCATAAACAACTCTGAAGCCGTGATTTCGGGTTTTACAGGCGTTTTCAAGGCAAAATTTCTGATTTCAGCCGGTTCCTAGCCCTCTCATTCGATGGCATTTACTTTCACTACACCTTAAAATGGCCATGGGTTCAACTTATTCTGCCGTATATTTTTGGAGCTGGCTATCAAGCGCTGAATGACTATTTTCCATTTGCCAACCAGTGGTATATTTTCATTGTCGATCAGGTGGCAGGCTGCCTCACATTTGCTTTCCAAGCGCTGACGATCTACAAGTATCGTAAGGTAATAGATGAACAGAAATATACAAGAATATAGACTTGTAATTAATTGTGTAAAATTTATTTTAATCATTTCCTATTTAGCAAAACGACGGCCAAAGTTCCAAAGGCGAAAGGGTGCTGCTAATTACGGTACAAAGCGTGCAAATGTAAAAACTTCATTTTTTATTTCCAGCTTTTTTTCGCAACGTTTGAAGACCTTTTCGCAAATGATATATCTCTAATTGTGACGATATTTCTGCTACCGACCACTAGAGCGAATATGCTCTACATCATCATGGCGCTATTATCGTTTTCTAGGCAGATAATGGCCAATCTGGGCGTAGGGTAAAAGTCTGATTACATCAGGATAGCACAGCTTTTTTAATCACGTTTTATCTCAAAAATTATAATTAGCCAGGGTTGAAAGGCCGCTTCGCGTCTTTTCAACCCTGGCCCCCGTCTGCCCCCATGATATTCTTGGCTTTGCATAATTTTCCCGTATTCGGACCACGAAAAATGAAAAATGCTCTTGCCGTCCCTTTATATAGGCCACCACGACTTCCGGTGCATGCTAATTTGAACCTAACAAATTGGGCTGTCCGATTTTCCATGAAAAACTTAATTTTAATGTCGAAAACAGCATGTTTTGTAAAATCTGATATGTGTGCAGTCATCTCCAGGCCATTACGCATGTAATGACGTATCGAACATACCTCTAAGTACTTCCCCTCTTGAGATATTACTGGAACACGGTGACGGAAGTTGCATGCAAATGCACACACACACACACAAACACTATTTTTTTATATATGGTAGGATTCAGGCAAAGATTCGAATAATGGACCGAAATTTCAGATTGGTTGCCCTAATCTTCATGCGACCACCAACGTTTAAAAAGCAGCAGGTTACAACGGTGAAGACATGGTCGAATGATTCTCGAAAATAATGAATTTGGCAGTAAATTAAACTAAATGACAAGCAAATGGAAGATAAAGTAAATAATATGATACTATTAAACACCAGCGGGGGAGGAGCCGCTTCGCGACTCTCCCCCCGCTGGACCCCGTCTAGGCCCTATAAATCGAGCGCCCTTCCACATAAAGTTACCTTGAAGAAAGGAAAACCCATCTTACATGCAAACCTCTTTGTATTGACATGCGGCGCAAGCTTGAAATGCTAGTCTCGTTATTAGGCCTGCGGTGCATGTTTGATCGGCAGGCCGTTACCCCATCCTGCGGCCCAAGCTTGAGGGATTAGCCTCCTTTTTTTGGCCTGTGGCGCCAGCTTGAGCGGCTTGCTTCCAGATTAAGCCTGCGGCGCAATTTGAACGGTTACCTCCTTCTTTAAGCCTGCGGCGCTGGCTTCAATGGTTGGCTTTCTCCCTTAGCTTGCGGCGCTAGCTTGTGCGGCTAGCTTCGTACTGAAGCCTGCGGCGCTAGCTTGTGCGGCTAGCTTCGTTCTGAAGCCTGCGGCGCTAGCTTGCCATTTGGACCCGAACCGCCAGAATACAGGAAAATACACTTCGAAACATGCATTCCGAGCAAAAAGCAAAAAAAAATACGATAGCCGGGGATCGAACCCCCGATAGCAAGATTGGCAGGCTGACACTCTAACCGCTATACCATGAAATGCTTGAGAGCGCGCGCGCAACACCCCTTGTATGCCCCGAGGTGACTGCCGGGAAAGGGGGAGCAAAGGCAATCGGAGGCAGCTCCAATGAGGCAGCCAAACGCGCGAGTGCAACTGGCAAGAATGAGGAAATTTGTATTTTCTCACATTATGCAAATTAGCCTTCCCGGACCCCCAAAAATGAATAAAACCGGCCTTAACTTTGTAAACTTGTATTTTATCGAAATTCTGAAAACGCCATCGGAAACAGAAGGGTCGATTCCCCCGGGTGACGGAGAATTAGGGCATTTTGGACACGGGAAGGCCCTCAAATCGGGCCTCGAAAGTGACATCCACACACACACACAGAGATACACTCCAAAATTATATAAGGTGGGATAAATGGCGAAGAAATTTGACTTGCCGAAAATTGAAATCTGCAGAAAAATCCACCATGAGCTCAAAAACCGGCAACTGCAAATATATCTGAAAGCGAACGTGCCGAGTGCTTTGGCCACTACGAAACTATGACCCTGCGGCGTGAATCTGCACATTTTAGCACAAAACAGCACTCGTGTGTGAGTTGATAAGTCGCCAGATTGGTCAGGGGCCCCCGGGAAAACAGCGAAACGCTCTCGCCGGTCATTATCAGCTGCCGAGATTGCTGATTGCGGATTCGGATTTAAGGGAGTGGCGCCAGGCACTCTTTGGTCATTTCGATTTCGTCTTTTCTTCAGATTAAATAAAGGATAAGCGGCCATTTGAAGTTTAATAACATATAATAAATTTCAATAAACTATTAATAAAATTTGATATTTGATAATGAAGATCAGCGTTTTCTCCTAAGCCATCCACAAGATTGCACAATGTTTCCAAGATGCTTGCGATCGTTGTCTAGCCACTCCAAGGCCACACCGCGCAGCTTAAAAGAGCACGTGTTAGCAGAGCACTGTGATTCGACAATTTGGTCAGTCAACCAAGTGGAAAATCGGGAAATTGCTCCCCTCGTCCCTATCACTTCAGGCTTTACGAGATTTTCAATCTTTATTCTACCTTTTTGATTGCTTTAAAAGCAACCATATCACTTGACATTTGTCTTTTTCGGACTTTATACGCTTTGCCTTGATTCCAGTTCTTAACGTTTTTGTGTTTGTTGGTTTTCTGAGTAGTTGACTCCCGTTTGTCTCGTAAAATCAAATAAACAGTCCGAACCAGTTTTCGATGACCTAATAAAAAGTTTTATGAGGCCGGTAGAAACGTCAAATCGCTTCGGATGGCTATTTTATTGGGTTCACAATGCCGCCAAATTGCTTTCCTGTAACTTTTGCATGGCTCGCACAGAACCGAAATTACAACCTAACTCGGGTTAAATTTTTGTGCATTGTTTTTCAGAGGTTATCACCGCTTTATCTTCAGACGACCACACTAGAAGTCTGGTGTAGCAGGTTTCCGGTTCAAAACCCATGCTCGGACACGCGAAACTCAGTGAACGAGCAGACCACTGCATTGCGCGATTATCTTTTCCGTTTTCCGATCCGCCCGCATGACTGTAGTTGTCTCTTTAGGGGCAATCTCAGTTTCGTCATCCCTGTTTAGAAGTCAATTCAGTTGCTTTTTTAAACTTTGCCTTTTTATTACAATTTTTTTATCGAAAAGCGCTTTCTTATATCTAGCTTTCAGACATGCTTCTACTCCTTATTGGACTAGCCTCAGTGCTGTACCTTTTTAATGAACTTTACTGGAAACGAAGAAATCTTCCTCCAGGTGAGTTGAATTCGCCATTAAGAACCTAAAATCACTAAAATTAACGTTTACTTTTCATCTTAGGCCCTACTCCTCTACCACTGTTCGGAAATCTCCTGGAAATCCGCTTCAAATCCAATTGCTACGAGGCTTACCGCGATTGGCATAAGAAATACGGGCCTGTGCATACCTATTGGTTTGGTGAGTATAATGTAATTAATAGACAGGATTGATATTTGGGTGTATTAACATGACGCCTAAAAGAAAGTATCAGTCAAATCTTCCAAAATTGAATTTTAACTGACCGGTTACGCTATGCTACAAGCGTACTTGCTTATCAAACATAGGCATGCTAATGAAATACGCAAAAAAGCCTATATTGTAGTTATACAAAATTTTTTCCATAAATCCGAATCGATTACCCTTTATTTTTTAAGGCACAATGCCCGTGATCGCCATCTCCGACTACGAAACAATCAAAGAAACAGTCATCAAGGACGGCGAGAAATACGTCGACCGCTGGTTTTTCAAGCCCTTTAACAAGGATTTCCGAGGTATCCATTTCTTAATGCTTCAAACTTATGCCATTTTTTGTTTAGGTGGAGATTATGGAGTCATTTTCTCGGAAGGAGCACTTTGGAGGGACCAGAGACGGTAAAAACGGCTTTATAAAAATAGTTATTTTTTAAGCTTGACAATTCACACGCTGCGTGATTTTGGAATGGGAAGAAATATCATGGAGGAGAGGGTAAGCTATAAAATAAAAACATAAGAATTTTCAATCAAGCCTAAGTTTGATAATGTCATAAAAATTAAATATACTACAGTAGTTTTAGGCAATGATCGAGGTCGAGATCATGCTCGAACGGCTTGCGAAAAACCCAAAAAACGTCAACATGCAGGTAGAAAACACTAAGCTAACGAGAGAAAACCGAAAATTTAGTCTGAATTCGACATCGCTGTCGGGTCTATCATTAATAATATACTGTTTGGATATCGTTTTGACGATGTGGGTTTGCTTTAAATTATCGAATTCTTACTTAGAAACGCAATCGTCAATGGTAAAAAGCTATTTTCGTTTAGGAGCACCTCGACGAGTTCGACTACCTGAAAAAGGCGCTTCGAAATTTTGTTACCAAAGGCTCCGATCCGCGTTTTATCATCGCAAATCTGTCATCGCTGTTAAGGAGTACTCCGGGGATTAAAGGTACCAAATTTCTCAGGCAAAAATATTCTATTTTTAGGAATCTACGAAGATCTGGTCAACGAGGGCGTCTGCATCAAAGAGTTCATCAAGCGGCAAATTGCGGAAAAACGGCGAACTATCGACTACGGTAACAATGTGAGTTTTACAAATCGGAGGCTGTGAAAATAAAAGTATACAATTTGCTACGAGACCTTTCAGGAATCCGACGACTTTGTCGAGAGCTATCTAAAAGAATGGGAGAAGAAAAAGGGGACCCAACAGGAAGAATACTTTTTGTAAGTTTTTAAGGCTGAAAATGACAATGATAGTGCCGAAAATGATAAGCTAGCAAAAATTATTTGGAAACAGATTAGAAGGTGAAAAACTGATTACTTTTTAGTGAGGAGCAGCTGGTCTCCGTGGTTTTTGACGTCTGGACCGCTGGAATGGAAACTACCTCGAATACGCTAACCTGGGCAATTTGCTATATTTTGAACGACCAAAAAGTGCAAGACCGTATCCACGCGGAATTGGATCGCGTAATCGGTTCGGACCGGAAAGTGACGATGGCCGATAAGAATGATTTGCCGTATGTCAATGCTGTTGTTAGCGTGGGTTTTCAGATACCTAAAAAACTGGGGATTACATCTTTAAGCCTTTTTAAAGTACAGTTTTTCAATAATGCTATTACAATAGAATTAATACGATAAGCTTTATAGGAAGCCCAACGGATGGCAAATCTGCTTCCCCAAAATCTGTTCCGCGTCACAAATGAGGACGTCAAGATCCAGGGCTACCATATTCCGAAAGGCTCCGTCGTTTGTCCGCAGATCAGCTGCGTACTCTACGATGATAAGGTACCTTAAAAAATTAGCATTATTATTATTACACAAAATATATCCTTAATCGGGACCAAAAAATTGCAACTGCTAAATTTTAAAATTTAATTTACAGCATTATTACCAATTTTTTAGGTATTCCCGGACCCGTATAAATTCAAACCGGAGCGTTTTTTGAATGCCGATGGCTCGTACAGAAAATATGAAGAATTGGTGCCGTTTTCTGTTGGAAAGCGACAATGTGCGGGTGAAGGACTTGCAAGGCTCGAGCTGTACATCTTTATTGCCAATATCTTCCAGACGTTTAAGGTAAGAAAATTGGATATTATTAAACAAATTTGGACAAAAAAATATAAAAATACAAACAAGAAGATTCAGATATGCTCAAGAAAGTGCAATATGTACAAATATGCAAGCTTTGACAAACGAAAATTTTGTCACACTCGTAAAGTATTAGAGCTAGGCTCTCCACGAAATTATCAATATTTTTTGCTTAAAAAAATAAAAAGCTAGAGCGGCTATTCAAAATAATATAAAACAATGCAAGAAACACAATTTTTTAGATCTCCTCCAAAAACAAGCCCTCGACAGCGAAAACCATCGGCCAAGTCGTGACCGCGCTACCGTATACCTGCGATTTTGAGCCGAGACAACGATAAGGATCAGATAGGGTTTGCATAAATTCTGTGTAGATAAACAAACAAATAAATAAGTTATATCGAATAAGCATACATGATATCTTTGAAAAACTCGTCTTTCTCTTCGGAAATTAACTCTGGAGGCTCCGGTGGAGAATCAAAAATGGGCTCCTGGAGTTGGGGAGACTTAGGAGAAAACGGGAAGGCTTCTTCGCATTTTAAATTCATGATTACGGTACATTTTGGGAGGTAGATTACGAGTTCTTCAACCGGGAGCGAGGGTTCGAGATAGGGTTCTAAAAAGGCTAGATGGTTTGCGTCCCCATCAATGGATGTGATTTTTAGAAGACTCGGAATCAGACTTATGCTTAGTTTAGGCTTAGCTTAGGCTTAGCTTGGGCTTTGCTTAGACTTAGCTATTTAACTTAGGCCTACAACAGGCTTAGCCTATGCTTACTTACATCGCAATATCGATCCTTGCTTTTCCATGATTTAAATTCCTACCATAGTCGGTAATGTTAAAAAATCCAGGCTCAACGTCGTCCAAATCAGTACTTCCGACGTCAATCGTTGGCTTCAATTCCGGTAGATCATGTAGTTGAGGATTCTATTCACTAACATGTATGCTCCTTATAAGAAGATCTACCTCAAGGTATCGCTGCAAGCCAGCTTCCGCTTGTTGGTTACGATATTTGGTGGGCTTTCGTCGAAATTCGGGGGCGGTTTTCCTGCTGTAGAAAATTATAAGTTAAACAATGCACTGACCCAATAACTTTATCATTCCCTTTTTCCTTGTATCGCTGGTAGGAGAACCAGTTCTGGAATTGAGCATGAGGTGGAGGACGACGATTCCATTTAAGCAGACCAAAAAACGCGCAAAACTCACCAGGACTGTTTGCCTCGGTACGTCCAACCACTCGGCAAGACGGGTGTATAACACCCGAGCTGGGAAGGGGTTGATCTGGAAAAAGCGCTTTCTGACTCATTTGGGTGAATCGTATAGTCCGTACTAATTCTCCTGCTCTTCGAAAACTGGAAAACTCAAAATGTCCTTACTTCGAAGAACTGCTTCAGCAACGCTTGTTGCTCCCTCGTGAATTTCATATAGCGACGCCGTCCTAAGATGTGGACGTATTAACGTTTACCAGATTCGATACCGTAGTCATTTTCAGTTTTTGAAGGCGGGTTGATGGATTTTGTCGTAAATTCAGTCATTAGTTCTGGAAAAATTGATTGGTAGGAGCTGGCAAGCTAGCAAAGATCCTTGAGGAAAGGTTGCCCAAGAATGATATAACATCCTCATCTGGTGGCAACTTGGACCCAATTGGCGACCGGATGCCCGCCCGAAAGGCCCTGATCCAAATTGCATAAACATACCGACTGTCTATTAGCATGTGGGACACGCCAGAAAAGGGGCAGCCGATCCCGGGCGGCAACTTGCTTGACCCACATCTGGCACCAGTCAGCGGCATAGCTTAATAGTTTTTTGGGTGAGATACCAAGAGAAAAAAAAGCGAAAAAAATAGCCTATTATAAATTACCTACTTTTGTACAAAGCCCTTGAGCCCGATAGCTGATAAATAAGAGATATTGTAGGTCAAGGTTAAAATCGAAAAATGGCATACTAGAATTTTTATACAAATCAGCGTCTCGTTTCAATCTTTTATGGATTGAAAAGAAAGTATTGTTCCCATTTCTGATCTCTGTAGCTTTATGACCTATCATTAACCCTGGCCTCCCGATTTTTCTCATTTCCCAAGACAAGCTGATTACCCCCGTGATTTATCTTCATGTTCCCGGGGAAAAATACACGCAAGCGTTTCCCAAATTTTGCCTTCCTCTCTCGTTCTTGCTGATGGGCATCTACCAAAAAGATTTTTTCCTTGGCCTTGAAAAGATCCAGGCGCACATCGGGGCGCCGATTCAAACGGTTCCCTCCCTGAATTTTCTCGGGTTTTTCGATGATTCTTGGTGTTACAATCGCCTTAGATATAGCAGTATTGAAAATTTTCTGTCCCCAGATTTCGAGATGATACTATTATTGCTCGGCATTTTAACGATATGGTATTTATGGAATCAGCTGTATTGGAAAAGACGTGGCCTACCTCCAGGTGGATTTGTCTTAGTTTATGGCTATACCTAAGCTTTTAACTTGCTTTAAATTTTTAAGGGCCCACCCCGTTCGGGCCACTGGGAAATATGCCGGAAGTCATCTGGAAACTTCCTGGGTATGAAGCGTTTCGGCGGTGGGGGAAGAAATACGGGCCGGTGCATACCTTCTGGTTAGGTAGGTGGAGAGAGAGGGAGCCACAGGGCGTGTCATAGATAGATAAAGAAAGAGAGAGGGAGAGAGAGAGAGAGAGAGAGAGAGAGAGAGAGCGAGAGGCAGCAACATTTTCAGGTCCCCTACCTGTCATTGCCATCACGGACTACAAGACCCTAAAAGAAACGATCGTCCTCGATGGCGACAAATATGTAGATCGCTGGTTTTTCAATGGGATTGCCGAGAAGATTATGGGTATGCAGATTTATACCTTAAACCCCCAATTAAAGAGCCTGGTAAAAAGCGCATATTTTTTTCGTTAAGGTGGTAACTACGGCATCATCCCCGCGAACGGAGATCTATGGAGGGAGCAGAGAAGGTATCGGAAACATGTTACCGAAAACTGTTGTTTTAGACTAGCGCTGCATATTTTGCGTGATTTCGGCCTTGGTCGTAATATTATGGAAGAGCGCGTGTTGGTAGAAGTGGATTATTTTCTTGACAGACTGGCGAAACTGAAGCGAGATGTGGATATTCAGGTCACATGACCCAAAAACCTTTTAAAAATGTTTTAGAGCGAATTCGACACGGCAGTTGGGTCAATCACTAACAATTTGTTGTTGGGGTATCGCTTTGATGAGGTGATAGAGAGAAAGAGAGAGAGAGAGAGAGAGAGAGAGAGAGAGAGAGAGCAAGAGAAAGAGAGAGAGAAAGCTTGATTTTTCAGGACCGCCAAGACGAATTTCGACTTGTGAAAGGCTGCCTCCGCGAATTGAGCGTGGCTTCTACCAACCCAATGTTTATTCTAACCGCCTTGGTGGCTCCACTTCAAAACATTCAGCCATTTAAAGGTATAGCTGACTAATTTTTAGTTTCCAAGCAGAATTTAGGAGCTTTTGATAACGTCCTCGCCTCCCGCCAGACTTTATTTGATTTTATTTTGAAACAAATAGCTGCCAAGCGAGAGAAGGTGGATTATGATAGTCCGGTAGGCGGTTTGGAGCAAATTTTTGGATTTTGTATTTATAGAATATTTTATATATTATATTTTATGATACCTTATATTTTTATGATCAATAAAAATAAATATTACCTGATTTTCAGAGTTCTAGTGACTTTGTTGAAGCCTATTTGAAGGAGTGGGAACGGAAAATGGGAACCGACCAGGAAGCCTACTTTTTGTAAGTTTACTTGCAACCTTTTATATGGCCTTTTAAACTCTAAATTCGCCATGTTTTAACGTTTGAAAATTATTTAGCGACCTCCAATTCGGATCGGTCGTTTTCGACTTATGGGCGGCAGGTAGATGAACTTTCGCCAGCCATGGAGTCGTTTTTAGGCCTCGACACAACCACCAACACCCTCAACTGGGCCGTCTGCTACGTGTTGAACCATCCAGAAGTGCAAGACAAACTACACGAAGAATTGGATCGCGTAATCGGTTCGGATCGGAAAGTTACGGTGGCCGACAAGAATAATCTACCGTATGTGAATGCTGTGGTTAATGTGGGTTTTTCAGGAATTGAAGCAATTGCGGAAAATAATTTACAGGAAGTTCAAAGACTGGCTAACCTATTGCCTCAAAATATTTTCCGGTCTACCAATGCTGAAGTAAATATTGGAGGCTATAAGTTGCCGGCGGGTACGGTAGTGTGTCCGCAGCTTAGCACGGTACTGTATGATGAAGAGGTAAGTGAAATGGGGCTTCTCCCATAGCTCTCTCTCTCTCGCTCTCTCTGACTCTCTCGCTCGCTCTTTCTCTCTGACTCTCGCTCGCTCTTTCTCTCTGTTTCTCGCGCGCGCTCTCTCTCTCTCTATCCAACGCTTCTCCTTTATTCTTTATTCAAGTCTTTTTCAGATCTTCCCAGAACCCTACAAATTCAAACCCGAACGCTTCTTAAATACCGATGGCTCCTTGAAGAAATTCGACGAATTAATTCCATTCTCCCTCGGAAAACGGCAATGTGTCGGCGAAGGACTGGCCCGACTTGAGCTCTACCTCTTCATTGCCAACATTTTTCAGCGATTTAAGGTAACTCCCATACCCTAAAAACCAAATTATCTTTTTAGATAACCTCCAACCAAAAGCCGTCGATGAAAAAGAGCGCCGGGCAAGTGATGGCCGCACAACCTTATACCTGCCACTTCGAAGAGCGCTGTTGATTTAGAGAATGATGGTCCCACTTCATAAATTTTCATATTTTGGGCGATTCGCATCGATTGAAAAAGCACAATTTATCAATTTTTACGCAAAGCTCAAATTAATTTGCAGTTTTTGTGCCCAGCACACAAACCATTTGAGAAAACACAGGCGATAAATACAGTTTTTGGAGAAAATATGTAAGTTTTGCAGAAAAACGATGAAAATCGAGCTAAAACTCGACTCGATCTGGCTTGACTGCGGATCCGCTTGAGCGGAGGATCCTTTTTTGGGTCCTTCCATTTCCAAGTATCCTCCTCGCTGCCCCAAAAGATAAAGCCAAAGAAACGTCCCTCTTATTAGTGGCAAATTTCCGCAACATGATGCATTTTTGAGTAGATCTCGCCGTGGCCGTAGATTAAGAATTCGGATGAACTGTGCCATTCAGAGTTTTTTTTGAGTCCCCCCCCACTCCAGCACCCAAGCCTAGTAAGCAGTTCCTAATCAAAAACTGTACTTTTTCCGGATACTCGTGACGTTCTGGAATCGATACCTAACGATGGGCGTCCTCTTCGTTCTTCTCTTCATCTCGGTCGCTGATGCTTTTTTGAGTCTCCATAGTAAGTATCAACTTTTTTAGAGTTTCTTCAACACCACCATACCTTTACTAGTGGATCAGATCGAATTTTTATTGGTGAAAAACGTTATATATTATTCGTCAAAAATGATTTATCGTAGGTTACACACAATGCATTCGCCAGCTACGCGTCGGTGACGTCATCACCATCAAGGGGCACGTCATTGCCGGGGCCAGACAGTAGGTTCATCACCTGATCCAAGGTATTCGCTGTTCAGGTGGAAGTGCAGCATCGCGGAGCACGGAATGAATAACTCCATCATCCACGCCGACCATCGAATTTCCACCGGGCGCGGGAATCCATGCACGGTTCTGAATGCGAGTTCCGGTTCGGTAGGTGAAGTGTTACTATTTTGAAGCCGACTACATTCTGCAGGATTGGGAAACGGAAGAGGTAAAAAGTGGTTCGGTTCCGTTTATTGCGGGGCCCTTTGAGATGTCTTTTCGGTAAGTTTCGTCAGGAAACATCGACAAAAATACCTTCAGAATTTTGGAGGAGTGGATGGTGGAGGTGTACTACAAGAATGCTTCATGGGCCGGTACGACTTATAAACGAAACGAGACAGTTCCGTTGAGCACGGCTCGACAAGTTGAGGTGGGTGAGAGCGAGAGGGGGGGGGAGAGAGAGAGAGAGGGGGAGAGAGAGTAGGGGAGAGATCAACATCGATCAATGCATAATTCTAAAACCCGTTTAACCCATACCTCCCTTTAGTGTCACGGTGATGTCCTGGACGTCAGCTTCCATGGCGTGAGGATGACTGGCAAAGTGGAGTCCCAACATATCTTGCTCATAGATAATTTTCTAGGTCGAGCCCGTGGACAGCCGCGACGATTGCTTGAAGTTATCAAGGGGCTGAAACGCTAAAGACCAAACCATCGAGTATGCTGGATTACGAGCCTAATTAATGGCCAAATTTTTCGAGCGGCGTTATTTGGTTTAGGATTCTGAGTGTAGATTCGAATAAATTCATACCGTTTTCGGAAGGCGTTGTCGAATTTTCTACAAAACAGTTGAAAACTGGTCACAAAATCACGAAGTGGTTTTCGTGTATGAGAGAGTGAGAGAGAGATATATGTAGAGAGATCAATTCGAAAGCTCGTTAGACGATATTTTTGTTTTTTGTTTTGTACTGTACTGCGTTGCTTATTGCTTTTCCACTGTTTTATAGTCCGTTGCACCATAAATCACCCATCAATCCCGTATGCGCACTTTTTGAGCGTGCCAAGTCGTGTGAGCGGGATTTATCGTCCTCTGAAGTCCTGGCCGCAGTACGGTAAAATGTGGGAAGACAAGGGGGTGGATATAAACTTCCGGAAATGAACCGGCGATACGAGTTGATGATGCGGCTACCGCTGTTTCTCATCTTCGCTGCGACGGCTAATTGCTACGTCAGCCCGCATTGTACGTTGTTAGTATTGTTAAGGAATTACCTTTTTAAAATCATAATTTTAAAATTTTAAAATGAACATTTTTAAATTTAAGAATTTAATATATTAATCAAAAATTATTTTAAAAAACAAGACCCCGGAGGTGCTATCATCTCCGGGGAAGGGTTGTATGAGCGGGAAGGATATCGTTTTCCTGATTTTGAGCAATTACAACGACTTCTAGCAGTTCAAACTGCTCACCACACTCAGGAACACAGTACGAAGCTTGATCGGAAGCGTTTTTGCATTTACTTATTAAAGGCAACCCCGAAAAAATTTTTTTTCGGGCTTGGTTAGAGGAAATACGGTAAAAGTGGTTGTAGGGTATACGCAGTGCTTCCGGCGGGTGTTGAAAGTTGGTGACATCATCACGATCAAGGGTCATGTTATCACTGGCGCGACGCGGTAAGAAATAGAGAGCGAGGGAAAGAGAGGAGAGAAAGAGAGAGAAAGAGAGAGAGAGAGAGAGAGAGAGAGAGAGAGAAACTTTTTCAGATGGACATGCAATATCGCCGAGAGTGAAATGAACAACATCATAATCCATGCCGACCACCGTATCCACCCCACGCCGGCCGAAGGAGCTTGGGGAACCCATGTCAACGCTCGCCCTGGCATGGGGGTAGGTTTTTGACCTAGGTATTTTTTCAAATCCCATAATTCACTTCACATCTAATATTTTTTTTAAAAAACCATAATGACGTTTAGGCGTGGAACTACGACGCTGGCCATGGAGCCATTCCCTTTGCCGGCGGGCCATTCGAATTCACATTCAGGTACTTACGCAACGACACTTTTTGGACTGTACATCTTTTTAGAATCCTTGACCCAATGACGGTGGAGATTTACTACAAGAATGCTACTTGGACCGGGACGAGTTATAGACGGCCCAGCATTGCCTTGGAATCGTCCCGTCAGATCGATGTAAGCCTGGAGTCATCATTCGACATAACAGTATCCGATCCCGGCTAGCGACGCCAAAAAAGGGGGTTGAAGCCATAGCAGCACATTTCTTTGCCCGCATTAACAGAAGTTTTCCAAATAAACCAGTAGCAAGCTTCAAGTACGACGAAATCTAGGGTGGCTAATTCACTGAAAACTTTCTTTTAGTGCAATGGTGACGTCCTTGACGTCACTTTCCATGGCGATATGATGAGGGATAAGGTGAGAGGAAACTACCGTAACCCAAAATTACAATCATCAGGTCTTGCCAGTAAAAAGCCGCAGCGACTGTCTGGTCCTCCCGAAGGAAAAACCACCACGGTTAGTTTTTGTTAGGGGAAAAATTTGTACTTTGTAGCCGTCACGACAGTCGTGATGATCATCGCCATAGCCATGATGATCACTATCATCATCATCACGGCAGCGACAGCCAGAGCAGCGAGGAGTGGCCGAAGAAGGACGAGAATGGGCAGCAAGGCAAGGACGCTTGGGATGGTAAGCAATTTTCAGAATTCGGTACAGAGCTTCTTTACGTCGATTTGTTGACAACCAAAGATGTAAACAGTTTGCATTGTTTAAAATAGTAATTAGCCTCTTGGGGTTTTAACATTACGATTTATTGCATTTGAGTCGTTATTTCCAAACTCGTATTCAGGAAAAGACAAGGCATGGACCAGGATCGTGTCTTTTTTTGACCAAACTTACATTTTTCAGCCTACAACATCGAGGTCCCGGATGGCTGGAAAAACTGAGCTGCATATAAAGAAGAATTTCTGTTGTTTATGGTCGCACTGATGACTCAAGATACGCCCTTTAACGTCAGACTACTACGTTAAAATCCACATCAAAACATTAAATAGAATTTCCTAGCTTTTTTAAAGCGATAAAAGCACAGCCCAACTCCCAAGAGCACAGATGCCTTTTAATGACCGGCAGGCGTGCGAATGGCCCAGGAATTTTATAATTCTTTTACGGGGGCCCCCCTGCAGAACTACGGTCAACCGTGAGAGCATAGTTCATAAAATGCAAATAAATTGGTGAGCATAGTTCATAAAATGCAAATAAATTGGTGGGGTATAAACTTCCGGAACGGATGCGCGCAAGGTGTTCTATTTTGGGGTTAAATGCGGCTTGTACTGCTCCTCGTCGTCGGGGCCGGCGTAGCGAATGCGTATATTGATCGGCATGGTATGAATATTTATATACTTCTTACATAAAAAAGTTGAACAGCATTTCGCATTTCAACTCTTTTAGATTATACGCAATGTTTCAAGAGAAACCTGCGGGTTGGCGACGTCATCACCGTCAGGGGAAAAATCCTGAACGGCGCGACACGGTATAGCCATATTACCTCCTTGAAGTTGTCGGGCGAGAAAGAGAGAGTGCGAGAGAGAAGAGAGAGAGAGAGAGAGAGAAGAGACAGAGACAGGGATCGGGGAAAGGCTCATTTTTCAAGTCCAAACTTTTTGAATCCATTGTTCATCTCCAGATGGACGTGCAACATCGCGATGAGCGAGCTGAACAACCTGATTATCCACGCCGACCACCGAATCCGTCCGACAGCCGTCGAAGGAGCGTATGGCACTCATGTAACTGCTCGCATCGGAACTACGGTAGGTGAGAGAGAGCGAGAGAGAGAGAGAGAGCGAGAGAGAGCGCCAAATCTCGCGAGAAGCCCTATCCTTCCTTTAGAAATGGCTAAACGAAAACTTCAAAGCGGCCATCCCATTCACCGGCGGGCCATTCGAACTTGTTTTTAGGTAATTTCCACTCCTGCTTTATAATCGACCTATTTACTTGTTACTACTAATTTCACTACTGCAGTGTTATTATTTATTATTCTCGTCAAAACTGCTCGACTTAGCATCGTGAGTGAGGGGATTATCGAAATCGCCTACAAAAATGCTGTTTTCAACGGGACCAGCTTCAACCGTGGCACCAACATCCCGCTGTCAGTGGTTCGACAAATCGATGTGAGCTATTTAGTCGTCTCGATTCTGAAAAAGGCTCTCGATGTCGGAAACCTTGACCTCCCAACACCTTTAAGACGTCTTTTTCGTGACGTAATCGATTATCCCGTCATGGTGAAGGGTTTGCGTTGCGTGTCGCGTGCGCTGCGCCTTTGGAATGCCCAGCCATGCGTTGCCCAACTCTGTAAACCCCAAAAAAAATTCAAATTCCAGTGCAGCGGCGACCTTGTCGACATCACCTTCCATGGGGACATGATGAGGGATAAGGTGTGCTCCAGATAGCGTAACTAATACCTACAGTATCCAGGTGTTGCCCGTAGCCAACCGCGATTGCCTGATGTTCCCGCCCGAGCCGGCCCCACAGTAATCAGATCTAGCGTTATTTTGCATGATTTTTAGGCGTCGTCCACCAGTCAAGAGGCCTATCTTTGATCAACATCTCCGTCGTGATGACGACCGCCGTGATCAGGGTCGTGACAACAAATGGGATGACAGCGACAGTAACGAACGCGGATTCAACGGTACCTTAGGGGTGCTGAGCGCAAAAATCCCGACATCAAAAATCTCGACATCCTTAGGATTTTGTTTCAATTCTAAAGCGAAGGGAAGGAGGATTCAATTAAACTTCAAAATATGTCGAGATTTTGGTTTATCCGTATTTTGGCGGTCGAGATCATGGCTGCCGAAATTTTAGCTGTCGGTAGTTTGGCAAGGAGTCAAACACAAATTACGACAAATAGTGCCGCGAAGCTTTGATTCGTCGAATTTGTCCATAATTAATTTTTGTTTTTAAATTCATAGTTTTAGGACATTTTTGGTTATATTTTTTCCTTATCTTTTTCAGGCTTCAACATCGAAACGTCTGACGAACGCTGGGATTACTAAAACTATTGGAACGTTGTGATGGGCCAGAATAAATTGTTTAAACATGGCCAAAGCATTTGATTCGACTCGGACCAAAAAAATTTGATCAAGCCTAAAACTATTAGGAGAATTTGGCTTGTAAGCGGTATTTTTGCAAAATCGCGTGCTTTAAAAATTGGTTCTATTGGCCTTGATCAACAACTTTGCAAAGGCGCCAGTTTTTCAGGGTGATCCCGCCTGTTTCGGTGATAAATCTGCCGTTAATTGGGTCGAGCGTGTATTGATTTGGTTTCGAACATTCACCATCGAAAATCGGTCGCTTGCTAATTGATCGCCTCCCTGCCAGCGCGATTTCTCGGAGCTATAGAAAATATAGTCGTTAATTGACCCGAATCCTTAAGGTTCTGTCAATTTCAAATATTATTGCTCTTATTTTCTTTTTCTGCATGAACGTTTTTGGCGATGATATACGCGATTTAGGATTTCAGGATTACGAATTTTAGGCGCATTAATGAAAGCTGTGTCTCTAGCGTTCATCATTTTTGCAGAGCTTGTAAATGCAGGTAATTGGCAAAATCTTTAAGCAAAAATCGTCAACTTCTAGAGAGTAAACTCAACCCGGTAAACCCGACTGCATCGACAACAGCTGCAAGCGCGACTTCAACAAGTCCCTCCAAGAACGAAACTTCATCTACAGCTCTTGACGTCGACGCGGTGTTGGCCAAGATTTCCAAAGGCTGCATAACCGACCAGGAGTATGAGGACCTCACCGGAAACTGGTTCAAAGCCAAGCACCTCGGCTTCGTGACCTGGTAGATGGCCACGCGAGCCGTGTATATCATTGGACGCGCCGAGATGCGAACGGCACTCGGGTTCTCACCCCCTGGACCGTGGAAGAAATTTAAGAAACCCAGCAAAGATGAGGCCGAGCTGGCAGCAGCTCCAAACCTCGAGGTATTTGTTGAATTCCATAGGAACGAATCAAATCTCACCAAATTTTTAATGCTTAAATTTGTAAATTTAGATTTTTAATTAAATGCTTGATTCCTAGCTTTTATATTAAAATTTTGTATCGAATATTTAAAGCCTTCGGATCACTGGCAAGTTGCCAAAGAATGGTGAACTTTTGCTTAAGCAGAAAATTCGGCGTGGCGAAGATTCTGAATTTTTATCGAAAAGTCCAATTTTCCAAAGCCGCCTTTTCGAATCACGCAATCGAATTGCAGGCTTCAAAAAATCGCTCTAATAGTTACTACAAGTTTTCTTGAAAATTCTGCTTGCCGAAAAATTATTCTCGGTTATTCTCGCGAAAATCTCTGGTTTTTCAAAATGCCCTTATGGTAAAACTTTTAGGAATATGCCAATAAATTACACAAAATAATTCAGGCCTACTATGAGCTGAAGGAGCCGCAACTCCTGGAGTTGAGCCTCGATGGAAACAGCTTCTACGAGCGCAATTTCGCGCCGGCCATCGCCTTCTGGGATAGGCGATTTCCGGAGATGCGGGCGATGTTGAGACAAAAGCTGGAAGCTATTCGGGATTCCGAATAATCTATAACTTGAAAAACAATCGACAAAATGATTCATGAGTTCGAGGTTATCTACGACAAGGCGGAGAACCAGCTTATGCGGACGTTCGTGGGTGGATCCCTTGAGTGCTAGCTGGCCAAAGAGAAACTACGAGGTCAGCTGGTTGTTAGGCTTTTTTGTAATGCTATAATCATAATTATCATGCACCGATATCTTTTCAGAAGCCAACCATCTCTAAAGGTCATACCCAAGACTTGAAGGTGGAGCGCGAGCGGAACGTCTTGTTTAATAAATTTTTGATAAACGGTTCCTGAACTGCAAAATTAAGATACAGAAAGAAATAGCGAGAGAGTGAGAGGCACAGGATAGCAGAAGAGAGGAACGAGACAAGGGAGAAGGGAGGGAGAGAGAGAGAGAGAGAGAGAGAGAGAACGAGAGAGCGAGAGAGGGAGAGTGGGTGTGAGAGTGTGTGAGAGAAAGAAAGCGAAATGGAGCTGAGACAGAGCGCGAACTAGATAATGTAGGTGCCATTCTTTTGCTGCGACTTCTTCACTCCCTTAATCTAAACTTCACCCCACGTTTCTGAATCCGTTTTGTTGGCTGTGCCCTCACGAGAATGCTCCCATATTATCGCCATCTGATGGCTGCTGCAGAACTACGGTAAACGGTGGGAAATTCAAGTTCGTAAAATGAGCATAAAATCAGGATATAAACATCCGGAACTTCCCCACGGCACTCGATTCTGCGGGGTGCGATGTGGGTCATTCGCCTCTTCGTCGTCTTTGCGCTCACCAACGCGTACATCAACCCTCATTGTAAGTACGGAATTTTGTGGGATAAAGATCAAAAATGTTACATTTTAGGGTACACGCAATGCTTCAGGAGGAACCTGAAGGTTGGTGACGTCATCACCGTCAAGGGGACGATATTGACCGGGTCACAGAGGTGGTGTAGATAAAATGAAATTGGGGTCTCTACTAAAAGGTCAGTTAATTCCCGCTTGTAAAAAACCGCGACACGCAGCGCGCAGCGCCAAGCTTCGCGTATTGCGGGCGTTGTGTAATGTGAAAAATTCAAGACCAAAAATACAACACCTAAGCAGCTTGGGTCTTACCGCAACCGCGACACGCAACGCACACGCTCCAGCGCCATAACCGATAACGCATTACGAGTCTCGACGAATAAACACAAAAACAACAGCCATTATTTTCAGAGCATTTAATTTGCTTTAAATTCTTTTCCATTCTTCAGATGGACGTGCAACCTGGCGATGAGCCAGATGAACAACATCATCATCCATGCGGACCATCGTATTAGCGATGGTGCCTGGGGCTCGCATTACAATGCCCGACCCGGAATGGGCGTACGTCATTCGTAGTATGCTGTAGTGTTCTGGATACCCTCTACTGGCGTGACTTTCAAATGCCGAAAATCATATTGTCGAAATTTCAAAAAGGCCAAATTTAGTTAAGCCAGTCTCCCGAACAAAACCCTCAAAAATTCTATGCAAAAAACTGCCGACAAGATGAAGTTTCGACATTCTGAAATTTCGACACCACCGAATTTCGACATTGTGATAGCAAATCCCCTTTATTATTACTGTTGCCGCATACAAATTAGCGTTTAGGACTGGATGAGGCGAGAATTACATCGCCGCGATACCGTTCACCGGCGGGCGATTTGAGTTTACTTTCAGGTAAATTAGGAACACGTCAAGAAAATTAATTAACTATTAAGAAAATTAATCAACTATTTATTATTGAATCATTAATTTACTATTTTATAATTCGGTTCTGTTCTATTTCGCGGGGGGGAAAAAACTGTGCGGGGGGGAAAATATGCTTCGCGGAATTTCATCTTTTCGCTATTTTCTCGGGATTTTTGCAACGCCATTCGATAGAACATCAAAAAATATACTAAGAGTTTTTGTTTTAGCTAAAAATATTGTAATATAAAAAAGTTATAGCAAAAACAAAAAAAACTATTGAAACTGGTTCCGGAATGTTAGTTTTTGGCATTTTCGCCATTTTTTCGATATTTTGAACCAGTCATTCGATAGAGCATCAAAAAATATACTAAGAGTTTTAATTTCATCTAAAAATATTGTTTTATAAAATAGTTATAGCAAAAACAAGGTTTATTCGGTGTTTCCACATGGGATCGTGGAGTCGAAAGCTAGTTTTCGACATTTTCGATAACTTTCAAAAATTTCTTGAATGCCATTCGATAGAGCGTCAAAAAATATACTAAGAGTTTTAATTACAACTCAAAATAGCATCATGTAAAAGAGTTATAACAAAACGAAGAAAATTTCCCCCCGCACAGTTTTTTCCCCCCGCGAAATAGAACAGAACCTATAATTCTACACATTCAAACGGTCAACAACCTTCAGGATCCTGTCGGAGCAAATCGTCGAAGTGATGTACAAGAACGGTGGTCTTGCCGGGACCACCTATAATCGTGGCGGAAATATTGCGCTTACCGCCGTGCGACAGATCGATGTAGGGACATTTTACTTATTTAATTTTTCATTTACAATCATTTAAAAAACCAGGTATAAATCTACAATTTGTGTTATCATAAAAATAGTGAAAGTTTTCTGAATGCCAAAGGTAAAGAGACAGAAATATGGGTAACGCGTCAATTGTCGGTCACCTTAAACTTTAGAAAAAACTAAATTTAGTGCAACGGCGACCTGGAGAACATCACCTTCCATGGGGATATGATGAGGGATAAGGTTTGACCAGACTATCGTACCTCCTACCAGACCCAGGTCCTGCCTGTGCCTAGCCGCAATGATTGTCTAATGTTCCCGCCAGGACCCTCGCCGCGGTAACCTGCTTAAAGGCTTATAGCTGTTTTGTTTAGCCGCCGCAAGCCCACCAAGGAGCATAAGCACCATCATCACGATGAGGACAGTGAAAGTGACTGGGATGACCGAAGCCATGGCCGGGAGCACGATAAATCGGATGGTAAGTGATAGCGGATAATATAAAGGGCAAAGGGTAGAACATCCTCATCTACAGTAGGAAAAAGGCTAACCAGTTACGCTATGCAAAAAGGACGGAAGGGCAAGCCCATGCAAGAGGCCAAGATTTAGCCTTTAAATGACCGTACAGCAGGTGTATGGCTTCTACCGATCCCGTAAAAACCACACAATTTTGTGTAGAATTTTTTTGTACATATCTTAAGGGTATTCCAGCGGCGGTACAATGAATCCGGATTCCCAAAAATGAGCTGACGTCAAAAAAAATGAAGTTTAGCCTTTAACATCGAAGTGTCGTCCGAGGAGCGTTGGTGAAGGGATGAGAATAAATATTAATTGCTGCAATTTGAGCCTTGATTCGACACTTTACTACTTATGCTCTTTTATAGTGAAAATAGCAACTTTTCGAAAAGACGGAAAAACGCAAGTTATTGATATGTGCCAGCTTATCGGACAGATCTCACAGATATCTGGGACAGGGAGTATAAATACATAGGCTTACAAGGTATAGACTTAATTACAAGTACATGCGTAGGCTTACAAGGAGTGGTTTTTAGGGGGGTCTTGGAGTTTTGCGAAATGACATAGCTCATGGCTAGAGCTTGAAATTCTGAACAAGTCACCTGTCAAAACCCTCTGAACGACAACGGTCTTCGAGAGAGCTTTTTTCTTTTTTTTTTTCAGAGCGGATTTCCTGGAAACTCGTGTTCTTTTAGTTGTTTTTGAAAGATGGCGCTTGTTCAGAATTTCAAGCTCTATCAAATGAGCTATATGATAACGCAAAAACTCCAACCTAAAGCCACCCCTTGTTAGCCCTAAGCCTGGGCTTGGTTTAGGCTTTCGCTTGGCATTATTAGGCTTAGTTTTCTGCGTCTGCTTAAACTTACAACTTGTTAGGTGTAGACATCGCACATAGAATAGCGTGAACCTTTCAAAAGTGGGGCATAAAATTTCATATCCAAAGAATGAAGTTAGCGAATCACCCGCAGACTAATAAATACACCTTCCGATCTTTTGGTCCCATACATCACATGCGAACGGCATTGCCATTGATGATGGGGCTGCAGTTTTACAGTAAATGGTGGGAGCAAAAAGTTCGTAAAATGCAAATAAAAGTGGGATATAAAGTTTGAAAGCCCAACGAGTTCGTTCCGTTTTGTGGCCATGCGGGCGCTACTACTTCTGGCTATAATTTCATTGAGCAGTGCCTACGTCAGTCCGCACTGTAAGTGAGAAGTGTCACAACAATATTGGTTAGTGGGCAGTTTACCCACCCAGCGTTTGTTCCTCGGTTCTCTGTTCATCTACAGGTGTGTAAGAGGTATATCAAAATGTTTGTCTTGCTCTGGCGAGTATTTTGATATACTTCACACATCTGTAGATGAACAGGGAGCCGAGATACGATAAATAGGGTTCGGCTGGGGGGGGGGCAAACTGAACAACAACATTGAAAATAATAGCGTTAATTTTAAATTCCTTTAGGGGTATACGCAATGCTTCAGGAGGAACCTACGTGTCGGCGACGTGATCAGGGTCAAGGGGTCGATCATTTCCGGAGCAACCCGGTAAATACCTCTAGATACCTATTTGGGGAAGCTGCCAAAATGACGACATTCAAAATGACGACAGCCAAAATGACGACAGCCAGAATGACGACAGCCAGAATGCCGACAGCCAAAATAGCGACAGCCAGAATGACGACAGCCATAATGACGACAGCCAAAATGGCGACATTCAAAATGACGACATGCAAAAATTAGATTTTTCCTAGCTATTACCAGATGGTTACAGTCGCTTCGCGACTGCAACCATCTGGCCTTCGGGCTACCCTACATGTCCCACTCCACCACATCCTTTCCCACCTCCATCAATACCCCCCATAGCCGAAATCCCGTTCAACTAAAGGTCTACCTAAACTACCTAGATACCTTCGTGATGGCTTCAGATACCCCCCATGGCTGAAATCCCCTTCAAAAACTACCTAGATACCTTCGTGATGGCTTCAGATACCTCCCCTAGCCGAAATCCCCTTAAAAAACAAAAATAACGACCGACCGGATGGAATGAGAGAAAAGAAAGAAATGAAATCCTCCGTGAAAATTTTCATCCACGAAACGCGCGCGACCTGGCTCACTATGCGAAAATCATGCCAACCTCTGTCCCCCACCCCTTTTACTAAGGAAAAAACTTTCAAAGTTAATTTTAATAATTTAAACTAAAAGTTTTTCATAATTTTTTATCAGTTTGGGGGTTTCTGACCACGCTCTATCCGAATCCGAAGAGACCTAAGCTCTAGCTCCTTTCCCCTTCGAGTTGAATTCGGCTTCACACGGACAGACGGACGGACGGAGACCACAGCAAAATTATTATAGTTGATGGCCGATTTTGCATGTCGTCATTTTGAATGTCGTCATTTTGGCTGTCGTCATTATAGCTGTCGTCATTATGGCTGTCGGCATTCTGGCTGTCGTCATTATGGCTGTCGTCATTTTGGCTGTCGTCATTTTGAATGTCGTCATTTTGGCTGTCGTCATTATAGCTGTCGTCATTATGGCTGTCGGCATTCTGGCTGTCGTCATTATGGCTGTCGTCATTTTGGCTGTCGTCATTTTGAATGTCGTCATTTTGGCCGTAAATCACCTATTTGCTATCGTGAAGCCGTATAATTTTTATTGCTCGAAAATTCATCTTAAAAAAAAGATTTTATTCTAATTTAATTTTAAATATTTTTCAGTTGGACGTGCAACATCGCGATGAGTGAGATGAACAACATCATCCTTCATGCTGATCACAGAATTCGTCCAACGCGCGTCGAGGGGGCTCGTGGGACCTACGTGAATATTCGACCCGGAATGGGTGTGAGTGCATTACGCTACTATCCACACTACGTGAAAGCCGTACCGAATCGAATTTATGTCTTTATACCGAATTAGGCAATACACCTGAACTACAGTACAAAATTGGTTAATTTTTAGGGTTGGGTACACAAAAATTATCACGCTGCCATCCCGTTCTCCGGCGGACCGTTCGAGATGAGCTTTCGGTGAGTGGAACACTTCCTGAAGCTCTATTAAAGCTGTGCTAAACATGCTAATTGCATACGTTTAGAATAATCGCTGAAAACATCGTAGAGGTCGTGTACAATAGCACGACGTTTGCAGGGACAACTTACAATCGTGGAAAGCACATTCCGCTCTCTGTCGTCCGGCAGATTGATGTAAGAGAGTGTCCATTAAATGGTATACAAAACAGAATTAACAAAATTTGCGGTCCCAGCACCTTGAAAATGATTTTAGTGTAACGGCGACCTCATGGATGTCACTTTCCACGGGGACATGATGAGGGATAAGGTATCTTTTGGCTATAGAGTACTTGACCTACCGTATCCAGGTATTGCCGGTGAAGAGCCGCAGTGACTGTATGATGTTTCCACCATCACCTCCTCCGTAAGCCTATTTTAGGGTCTATTGAATTTGTATAATTTCTAGCCGCTCCCGCTCGAGGGAACACCCCCATCACAGCCACAGCCATGGCTGGAGCCACAGCCATAGTCACAGCGACAGCGGGAGTCACGATAGCGGTTTCGATGGTACGCTAAAATTACGAAATTTTATGATAGGTTCAAAAGATAATTCCACGATTTTTTTCCCAAAAATTTATTTAGCCGTTTTTTCCTTTGCCGAAAATGCATTTCTGCCAAAATTTGCCAAACGCCGTGATGGCCGCAGGATACTTTAGCAATTTGAATGGGAATAGCCTGCAAATACGCAAAAAAAATTACTTTTAAGACTTCAACATCGAACTTCCGCGGTTTGGACGAGACTGAACCACATAACGCATTGTTTTTGGCTGTCCGAGTTCAATGCATAAAGATCAGTTATATCTGTTGCTCGGCTTTAAAGCTCAGGTGCGAAAAGAAAAGGCTGAAGAAACAAAGCCTACACTGATGCCTTTTCCGTTTGAAAAGTTGACCATACAAGCAAAAGCACATCTTTTCGGTTGCCGGCTTCTTGGCAGCCGATGGGAGCCGGCCGGTCGTAAAAACGCCACTCGTAAAACTTGGCCAGAGGTGCATACTGCAAAACCGCTATAAATTGACACCGTCATACCGTAATCGAAGATCAGAAATGTGGTTCTCGGTCTTGGCTCTGTTCTATGTGTCCGGTGCGATAGATGCTCATGTGGATTTGAGATGTAAGTAAACGGATACTGTACTCCCGACATGCAACAACGCTTACAGGACAAAATCCCGACAACTAAAATCCCGAGAAATGCTAGACGATTTTTGGAAAAACTTGACTCGGGATTTTTGCTGTCGGGATTTTTCTGTCGGCATTCTGGCCGGAATTCGAGGTTCATTTACGAGACGTTACAGATTACACCCAATGTTTCAAACGTGAGCTTCGAGTTGGTGACCAAATAACGGCCAAGGGTTACATTATCCCGGGCGCCATGAGGTGGAAATTGTTTAAGATTTGATGATACAATCCGATACAAAACAATACAGTTTTGCGATAATTACATGTATCCTTTTTAGATGGACCTGCGCTGTCCAGATGAGCGACGGTAAAAATCTACAACTGCACCTTGACCACCGTATCAAACCTCAAAAAGGGGAAGGGAGCAGGGGGACCCATATCAACTCGAGGCCCGGAACCTCGGTACGTCTCACTTTGATCTTGTGCTCACGAGCACGAGCCCAAACCCATCCTTGTAGGTCCCACTAAAACGCAAATTTAGGGCTGGAACAAAGAGCTCTACCACGCCCAAATGCCCTATTCGGAGGGGGAGAAGTTTGAGATTCAACTACGGTAAGCTACTTAATTACGATCAACTTTTTTGCTTTGAAGGCAGTGTTTTAAATTTGTGTTTATCCATTTTACTTTAGATTCACTGGCGAACGTGCCATCAACATCAATTTCATTAATGGGGCGTGGAGCGGGACGACGTTTTCTCGGCCGAATGTACCTCTGAGCGTGGCTCGACAGATTACGGTAAGATTACGGACTGAACTACTTGAACTTGATGGTGACGTCGATACGGCCCTCGAAGACGACCCCAAATCACATCGAGCCATTTTTAGTGCTATGGCGACGTGAAGGACGTAACTTTCCAAGCTGACGTGATGCGGGACAAGGTATCCTTTATTTAGTGAAGGTTTTTCGGGCCTGAAAGAATACGGTAGGACCAAAACAAGTACTTTAGACAATTTCACTGTTTAGGTATCCGAGGAAAAGACCCGGGACTGCTTGACCCTGCCGGATTCGTCGCAGCCTCTTCCGCCGCCTCCACCCGAGAAGCCGTTAGTCAAATTTTTAATTTCCTATTTTTTTTCAGCCATCACCATCACCATCACCCTCATCCTCCAAAAGGCAAAGGCCCTCATCGGCATCATCACAAGAACAATGGAAAAGGCGGAAGCAGCAGCAGCGGGACTGGTAGCGACAGTCATCAACAGGGTGGAAGTGATGAGGATGGTTTTGATGGTAGGTTAGAAATATAGTTATGGAAATTAAGCAAGAAAATTTACTACTTTTGATAAAAACCGAGAAGTATTTTAGGCTTCAATGTGGTCGTTGAGAGTTCTGAGGGTGACTGGCCGAGCTAAAGTACTTTCATTTGTCTCTGGATATATTATTGTTGAAAAAACATGAATAAATGCGTTAATCGAACACTCAGAAATACAAAGCACATAGCTAGTAAAACGGATACATGAGGGTTATCAGATGAAGATGTAATGACCATTCCTCCTAGGTCCCTCTTCTTCTCCTTTCAAGGTGCCTTCAAAAGTACTCTATGTGTATTCTGTCTTGATTTCTGAGCACCTGGCCTTTTCCGGTGCAAACCCTCTGATTTTATAGCCCGAAACCGCTTAACCGTGTGTGGGAGCGGACAGCTCGTTAAATCGTGAATCTTCTCGAACTGGAGATGCAAATCGGGGCACGATATAAATTTTCAGAATTGCCATTTTGCCACCCATTTAAGCCGATGTGGCTTCTGCTATTATTCGGGTTATTTTGCGGGGCTTCCGGATATAAAGATCCGCACTGTAAGTGAGTTTCGAGGCGTAAGTGGATACTGTATTCCGTGGCTACACGAAACTGCAGTAGAGTACGCGTGCGCTCGCATAGTTTGGGGGGTATACGGTGTTCGATTTCAGGGTTCGTCCAATGTTTCGACCGACCACTCCGTGTCGGTGATGCGATTACGGTACGGGGAAAGATTATCCCGGGAGCGACGAGGTAGGATTTACAATTTGCTGATGAGATTGGTTAAGAGGTTAAGAGTGAGAGAGAGAGAGCAAGAGAGAGAGAGAGAGAGAGAGAGAGAGAGAGAGAGAGAGAGAGAGAGAGAGAGAGAGCAAGAGAGAGAGCGAGAGGAGAGAGAGAGAGAGAGAGAGAGAGAGAGAGAGAGAGAGAGAGAGAAGACTTTAGGTGGACGTGCAACATTGCAATGAGCGAGATGAACAACATGATCATCCACGCCGATCATCGCATCCATCCGGGTCCTGGCGAGGGTGCATATGGGACGCATTTGAACTGCAGGAATAATATGGGGGTAGGTCGTCGGGTACCGCTTGCTTAGCGCAGGCAAGCTAGCAGAGGTTCTTGCGGCGGCCTTCCTTTACCGACGACATACTCCAAATTTCAGCCCTGGGTCCGTGAGGAGCACTTCAGCAAGATCCCGTTCGCCGGCGGGCCATTTGAGCTGACGTTCCGGTGCGAATTGGGACATCTAATTAGAATCTTCAGTTTTTTCGTTAATTAATCCAAAAAATTAGTAATTACAGTAGTGCATATATATTTTTAGAATTGCCACGATCAACAGCGTGCACGTACACTACGCCAGTGGGGTTTGGCAAGGTGCTACCTATGCACGTGGTGGCAATGTTCCGCTACACACCGCTCGGCAGATTGACGTGGGTGATTTTTGGGAACGGCAAATGTTATTTGGGTTTTGTAGGTAACATGACAGCAGTTCCTTGACAAATTTTTAGACGAAAGGCGGGTTTAAGGACTTTAACAAAAAATTAAAAACTGGCGTGCCTCATCGAGGGGGTAGCAAGCAGAAATTCTTTAAAAGAAGGGAGGGTAGAAGCTAAATTTTTCAGTGCAACGGCGATCTGACAGGCGTGACATTCCACGGACCGGTGATGAGAGGAAGTGTAAGTTACTCTAAAAATATTTCTATATCTTTGATTGGCTTGTGGCCCCTTTAAACGGCTTTCTCTAGCCACCATGATTTTCATTAGCCTCGAAAGCTTACTGTAACTTACAAGATACGTGAGCGCCTAACTACGCAGTAAAACTCCGACACAGAAAGACGAGCGTAATTAGGCGCTCACGTAGTACAGGATTTCTAGATACTTACGATTTAAGATATCTACGATCCAATGCCATAATTTTAGGTCCGAGCCGCCAAAAGCCGTCCGGACTGTATGAAATTTCCGGCCCAGAAACCGGGACCAAAGCCCGGAGGAAAGCCAGGACCAAAACCCAAGCCCAAGCCGCATCCCAAGCCCCACCCTCACCCTCACCCTCATCCGCACCCGCACCCCGGGCCAAACCCAGGCCCAGCACCGTAAGTAGTACAAGCGCGGAATTTGTATTTTGGAGTACAGTAATCCCCCACCACCACCACCTCCGGCCAGCCACAGCCATAGCCATAGTCATAGCCATGATCACAGTCATGGGAAAAGTGATGAGGACAAGGGTGAAGGTGGGTTTGCGACTTTTTAAAGGGAATTGCAAGGCTTTGCTATGGAATTTGTCTGGATTTTTATGGGTTTTTTCGCTGTCGGAAAACACTTGGATTCCATGCTGTAATGGACAAGCAAAAAACGCCGCTGCTCAATAAGCGTTGCGTGTCGCGGCAACGGCCGAATCCAAAAAAATTGCACATCAAAAGCCATAATCATGCCTTGCCCGTCCCTTTAAGACGCTGATTTGAATAATTTTATTTGAGCAATGTTTTTAGCAGTAAATGCAACTTCGAGCCCCGAAAAATCACTTTTATTTAGGGTTTAACGTCCAGGATTATGAGGTGGTTGCGGCCGGTGGCGATGACGACGATTTCTAAAAATTCGGCAATGATAAATTGTTATGCTAACCCACTAATGACACTGACCGCTAAATTGCCTAAATTTTGCAAATTTTCATTGATCTTTCGACAGAAGCCGACAGGCAGTTAGTCAGCCCAATTTAAATCCCATCAAAAAGTGAAACCACCCCATAAAATCGCGCGCTCGTATTATGACCATGCCTTCGATTTGCCTCCGAGTCACAAAGCTGCAGAAATCAAATACGATAGAAAAGTTGAAAGTTGTTTTCCTCCTCGTTTTCCTTTTCCTAAATTTCGCGCCTGAATGACGAATTCGAGACCTAATCTCGATAGAGCCAAAATACCGACAAACCAAAATCCCATGAACCAAAATCCGGACAGCTACAAACCCCGATACATTCTCGAAGTTTCTATCCTATTTCGTATTAAATAATTAGCTTACAAGTCGGGATTTTGCCTATCGGTATTTTGGCTGTCGAGATTTTGCCTGTCGGGATTTATGCTGTCGGCATTTGGCGTTTTGCCTTTATTTATTGTCCATAACTTAAAATTTAGCACTTGAAAAACGTTGAAAAGCTTGAAAAATTCTTGGAATTTGCATAATCTCTGTTATGCAGAAAAATAAACTTTTCTGAGGCTCCAAATCACAAAATCGCAGAAAATCACGGCGTTCCGGGGCGGCTCACTAAAAATCAATGCCCCGCGGTCCAATAAGGGCAATGATTACGAGGCACAACTGTCGACAGATCACAATATGTGTTTTTCGCCGTCCATTATCAGCCGGTTTTTGAGGGGTTAGTCTTTATAAAACGCCTAGCCTTCTTCGTCTCTGTCAGCTTTGATCAAAATTGACTTTTTTTGCTTAAGTTCCTAATTTTCCGCGAATTGTTGAGCTATTGAAATAATTTTTTTTAATCCATATTGCAAATTTCAGATGTTTTTACTGTTACTGCTGCTTGCTGTTGTATCTTACGTTTTTCACGAGGTTTATTGGAAGCGCAGGAAGTTGCCGCCAGGTTTAATTTTAAAGACCTAAAGTTTTAAGTTTATCGATTTCTTATAGCTAGAAGTTATTCCGGGCCATGGATAACAGAATTAAGAGACTATTTTTTACTTATTATTACGTTCTACTTTCAAATATTTGTAAGTTGATCTAAAAATCATATTTATGAATTCTATTATTTTTGTGATACAACAACCTGGATTGGAAATGAATTTGTCGGCGAAATTTTATGTTAATTTTCTGAACTTAATTTGGTTCTAAAATTAGTAATATGTAGTAAACTATAAAGCAATTATTTTATTCAGGCCCAACCCCGCTTGGAGTTTTTGGAAATACCATCGAGATCTACCAAAAAGCCCCCGGCTACGAGGCGTACGGTGGATGGGGCAAGAAATATGGGCCAGTGCATACTTATTGGATGGGTAAGTAATGCCGTAATTACCAGTATAAGATAAAATTCAAAAATATGTACACCGGGACGACCTTATGAACATCTTATTACTTTAGGTACTCAACCTATCATCGGCATCTCCGATTTTGCACTCATCAAGCAACACATAATCAACGACGGGGATAAATACACCGCCCGGTGGAGCATGAACGATTTAATGCTCGATTTTGTTGGTGAGCACGAGGGTTTAAAATGTTTTAATATAGAATATACCTTGAAACCGTGCAAAATATGACGGCAAAAAATCAAAATTAACTTTTGCGATTCTGTGAGTGGAAACTGTGTTTAAGGAGGCGATTACGGTATCATCGGCTCGATGGGGGAACTATGGCGCGAGCAGAGGAGGTACAAAACTTTATTAAAATGTCGTCTTTTGTTATCTGAAATTTTCTATATGGAATTAAATTACGATATTTTTGAGGTATTATTAATAAGACAATCTAGCATTTGAAGCCTGTAAATTTTATGCTAATTAGGGTATTAAACAGAGCCTATTATCCCTTTCAACCAGAAATTTTTCGGCTCCAAATCATTTCATTTTCATTCAAATCAACATTAAGACTAACCCTCCACATCATGCGCGATTTCGGGATGGGCCGAAATATTATGGAAGACCGGGTGATGGTTGAAGTAGATTTTCTCATCGACCGCCTGGCAAGCCTAAAAACCGAGGTTTCGGTCCAGGTAAGCCAAGCCTGCTGTATTCTTAATCAAGTAATTTTAGCATGAATTCGACATTGCCGTCGGATCCGTCATTAACAATATTTTATTCGGGTATCGGTTCGACGAGGTAAGAAAACCTAAATTTGCTAGAGATTCCATTTTTCAGCAACACCTGGACGAGTTTAGCCTCGTTAAAGAATCGCTGCGGGACCTCGTCAAAATTCTGACGACCCCGCTTTTTTCGGTGGCTATGATGACGCCGCAAATTCGAGGGATACCTCCCTTCAAAGGTATTTGAAGATTACTGATACCTATTGTATACATCGAACTGGTTTATCGAAGGTGTCGAGGATGCTAGGGGCCAAAAAAAGTAGGTATGACTATCAAAAAGTGACGAAAAAGCACTAGCGATCGTTTGCTCCAAAAGCAAAAAGTTCGCTCCTGGGTGGGTTCGAACCACCGACCTTTCGGTTAACAGCCGAACGCGCTGCCGATTGCGCCACAGAAGCGATGTGGGCAGGCGAGAGGGGAGGGGCTATACGATAACCGGTCGACAACGGCCTGTCAAGTGGTGTCAGAGGCAAGGTATCGCACTCCCATCAGCCGTTTTTATCGAAATTCCAGGCGGTGATAAGTCGCTCCAGATTAATAAGCACAAAAATTAGAAAATAACTGTAATGATATTCAAAGCATTACAGGACTATATCAAAAATTCTACGATACTCGCGATGTCTTGCTCGGTTTTATCAGACGACAAATTGAGATGAAAAAGAGGATGGTCAAGTATGAAGCCGAGGTAATTTTCAAGCTGTTATCTACAGTTTTATATATATCAAGTATCTACCTTAAATTCATTTAACGTATAAAACTAGGATATACTTTACAACCTATCAATCATGTCTATTTTTAGGAATCCGAGGATTTCGTCGAGAGCTACCTCAAAGAGTGGGAAAAGAAGAAGGGCACCGATCAAGAGGGTTACTATTTGTAAGTGAATTATGAAACCTGGAAAATTCTATTTTTGTAGTGAGCAACAACTCGTCGCCGTCGTCGTCGATATTTGGACAGCCGGGATGGAAACCACCTCAAATACCCTTACCTGGGCCATTTGCTATATTTTGAACCATCAGGAAGTCCAGGAAAAACTACATGAGGAATTGGATCGCGTAATCAAATCCGATCGCAAAGTTACGGCTGCTGATAAGAACAATTTGCCGTATGTAAATGCGGTGGTTAGCGTGAGTTTTGAGCTTTTAAAGGGACGTGCAAGCCAGCTTTTCCACTGCGTAATCAATCACGAGCTTTCGTTCAGCCAAACGGCGCGTTGCGTATCGCGGGTTTCCAACATTTTGATGGTAAGATAACATCTACAAATTTTTCAGGAAGCGCAACGCCTTTGCAACCTCCTTCCTCAAAATCTATTTCGCGTGAACACTGAAGACGTCACAATCGGCGGCTACAGTATCCCTGCCGGCAGTGTGATCGTCCCCCAAATCAGCGCTGTAATGTATGATGAAAGGGTAGGATCAATTTTCTGTTTGTTTGATGTAAGCTAGCAGATATTATTTAGGAAGGCTGGTTTTATGGCTAGCGAAGATCACTGGGCAGCTGGTTTAGACCGGATTCCTTTGAATTCATGGTTTTTAGGCACCCCGTGTCAAAAAGAGTAACCTAGCAGAGAGCGTTCAGGAACCTTTTCCCGAGGGTAGAGCTGGCAGAGAGCTTTTGAGAAATAGCTAGTACTGTAGAGGGCGGATTAGAGGACAAGCCCTAGAGTTATGTAAACACCAAAAAATCAATGATTTAGGTCTTCCCCGAACCATACAGCTTCAAGCCTGAGCGATTCCTAAAACCGGATGGTACCTACAAGAAATACGAAGAGCTGGTACCGTTTTCCGTGGGGAAACGAGCATGTGTCGGTGAGGGGTTGGCAAAGCTGGAGCTCTACCTCTTCCTCGCAAATATTTTCCAGAGCTATAGGGTAAGTATTGTAATCTCTAAATGCTAGCGATTTTTTGCAAACTATAAGATCGTTTTTCAGGTAACCGCGCGTACCCTACCATCTATGGAGAAGGGCTGCGGCCAGATTGTCACTTGCAAACCTTACAAATGTAATTTTGAAGCGAGGCATTCGTGATAGACTTATTTAAGTGCTTTCTTAAGTCATGATGTTGGCTTAGAAATTGGCATATATCTGCTGTCTACTGTATTTATGGCAAAATAATAAAATGATCATTACCTGGAGTTATCAGTCTTAAAATCGTGTAATAGCATGCATACAGTGCACTTTTCGATACTTAAGCCATGTTTTTCAGGTTGTATTCTCCGAAGCACAGTATTTACAATGCCTAAAAATTTGGATCTCGCCCTTCATTGGCATTTTAAATGTATCAGAAATCCAAATTTTGCATCTTAAAAAGCTAGCACCTAGCAGTAAACGTTTTTCGTGCAAATAGAGGCGTAAAAAGTATTGCTTTTCGAGCAACACAGCCCACCACAGCCATTGGCCAACATTGCACAACGTGTACACCAGTTTCCGAGGTCAGCCCCTAGCCGGCCGACCCCTACAAATAGATACGGCCGACAAAACAGACTCGCAGTACTCGCACGACTAATCCAAAAATCAATCTTGCCCCCGCTCCGGGTAGGCTAAATGACGGCGCAGACCAAAAATTGCCCTGAAAAAAGCGCTCAGCCGGTCTGCTCGAAACTGATTGCCCGATTTGCGGGGGGAATCATTTTTTTGAGGTCGAAATTTTCGATTCTAACCCCCCTAGATTAGAGTATGCCGTGCTGAAAATTTTTCAATTTTAGCACAGGATACTGTAGTTTAAAATATTAAGTTGATCTGCATCCTAATTTTGTTGTGTTTTCCAATTTTTTACGCTGATTTCCCGATCTGCGGGGAAATTTTTTGGCGACAAAATTTTCGCTTCCCATTCAATTACAGCAGGCCGTGTTGAAAATGTGCCATTTTTAGCCCAGGACATTGTAGTTTAGGATTTCAAGTTTGATTTACAAATGATTTTTGGAGTCCTACCTTTGGTTTGTTGCTGTTTTTTTCAATTATTACCAGGGTTGAAAAGCCGCTTCGCGACTTTTCAACCCTGGCCCCCGTCTTAACCCCATACTTCATCGTTTTGCATAAACCCCTGAATTCCTGTGCAGGAAAATGAAAAGCGCGTCCTCTCCCCCATTATATAGGCTTCTCCCGCTTCCGGTAGATGCTAATTGATTCTTAACAAAGAGGCCGAGCGAGATTTTCACAAAAACTGAATTTTAATATCGAAAACAGCTGATTTTTAAAAATCTCAGATGCGTGCAGTCGTGTCATGACCATTACGCACCTAATGACGTATCATACGTACCTTTAACTTCCTTCCCTATTGAGATACGACTGGAACATACGGACGGAAGTTGCATGCAAATGCACACACACACACACACAAACACTATTTTTTATATATAGTAGGATTTGTTAAATTAAAAATAATGCTATCATTTTTTCAAATTTTTCACTCAGACGGAGGCAGAAATTTTCGATTTTAATTCGAACTACAATATACTTTACCGAAAACTGCCAATTTTCAGCCCAGGTTACGGTACTTTACGATCTGTTTGAGTTTTTACAAATTGCTTTCGGACGTTTTAGTTTTCGGCTTGGAGCTGATTTTATCTTTTTCAGATCTATGTCTGTTTGTTTATGTTGATCCCCACGAATTCTTTCTAGAGATTTTTTTATTCTTCTCGTCTATTTCCAAAATTACGCAAATTTCAGCGATGTTTCTGCTTTTGGTTGGTACAGTAATTTTCCTGTACGTATTCCATGAGGTCTACTGGAAACGCAGGAATTTACCGCCAGGTAAGCCTTAATTTAAATTTGCATATTTGATTTAGGCCCGATTCCCTGGGGATTTCTGGGGAATACGATCGAAATTGGGATGAAATCGCCTGGTTATGAAGCTTTTCGAGGGTGGGCCAAGAAATATGGACCAATGCATACTTACTGGCTAGGTGGGTGAGGGCGAGCGAGAGAGAGAGAGAGAGAGAGAGAGAGAGAGAGAGAGAGTGAGTGAGTGAGAGAAACAAACTTCTTTTAGGAACCCAGTCTATCATCGCGCTCACCGATTACGACCTCATCAAAAAGCACATTATCAACGATGGCGAAAAATACGTGAATCGAAGTGGGATTGGCGATTTGATGCAGGAATACCTAGGTTTGAAGATTCTTTCTCTCTCACTCGCTCTCTCTCTCTTTCTCGCATGCTCTCCTTTTCTTTCTCTCTACCTTTCTTCACTGAACGGTTTCAGGCGGTGATTTCGGCATCGTCAGCTCGATGGGTGATTTGTGGAGAGAGCAGAGAAGGTTTTCTGCTTCTGATGTTTAATATTAACTTTTTTTGAGGCTTACTGTCCACATTCTTCGTGATTTCGGGATGGGCCGAAATGTGATGGAGGAGAGGGTGATGATCGAGGTCGACTTCCTACTAGAACGGCTCCAGAGTCTGAAGTCGGGCATCGCGATGCAGGTGGGAATCTACGCTGTTAAAGCAATTTTTAAGACTCTCGCTTAAATTCACTCGAGTTTAGAATGAATTCGACGTTGCCGTTGGATCGGTCATCAACAATATTCTTTTTAGCTACCGTTTCGACGAGGTATTCTGCAAAAAAATATACACGCCGTCGCTTGTTTTTCAGGCCCACATGGACGAATTCATCTTGATGAAAACTTCACTTCGAGATCTAGTGAAAGTTGTGATGAACCCGACGTTCCTGATAGCCGCCATGCAGCCAAAACTTCGCGGGCTTCCCCCATTTAAAGGTATATTTTGAGGCGAAACAAGTTCAATTGGAATTTACAGGGCTCTTCCAAAAATTCTACTCGGCTAGGGACGCACTATTGACCGGTATTCGAGGGCAAATTGCGGAAAAGCGGAAGGTGGTCAACTATGATTCAGAGGTAAGGCATTATGGAGCGTAAGCTTCAGCCTAAGCCCTAAAACCGAACCCTAAGCCTAAGCCTAAGTCTAAGCCTATGCGTAAGCCTAAGCTCCAATGATAAACGCAAGCGGAAATAACCGTGAAATTCCAGGAATCTGACGATTTTGTGGAAGCATACCTGAAAGAGTGGGAACGAAAGAAGGGGACCGATCAAGAAGCTTTCTATTTGTAAGTCTCTCAATCCCTTTCTCTCTCTCCCTCTCACTCTCTCTCTCCCTCTCACTCTCTCTCTCTCCCTCTCTCACTGTCCCTCGCGTGTTTATTCCGAACTTCTAGTGATCAACAGCTCGTCGCGGTCGTGCTCGACGTTTGGGGAGCCGGTATGGAAACCACCTCAAATACCCTCACCTGGGCCGTATGCTACATCCTCAATACACCCCACGTACAACCGAAAATGCACGAGGAATTGGATCGCGTGATCGGCTGCGAACGCAAAGTCGAATGGGCTGACCGCAACGCTTTGCCGTATATGAATGCGGTGATTAGCGTAGGTTTTTCAGGGGTATTGGGGACCCCCAGATAAAGTGCTACGTAAAATAGGGCAAAATTTAATTTATCTGGTGTGATCATCTGTGTTTAGGAAACGCAAAGGCTGGCTAATCTACTACCAAACAACCTTGGTCGCGTTACGACGGCGGATACGGTAATCGAAGGCTACCGTATCCCAGCCGGGCAGGCTATTTCACCGCAAATCAGCTGCGTGCTTTATAATGACGAGGTAAGTAATAGACTAAATTTTAGGTGTCATAGGGGAAACAACCCAAATGCCGGCATTCAAAATGCCGACAGCCAAAATAACGACATAGACTGTCAGGTCATTCGAAATACTATAATTTTCACTTGTCGGCATTTTGTTGTCAGCATTATTGCTGTCGGTATTCTTGCAATCAATTGGGGTTTTGTCATTTTGGCTGACGGTCTTTTGAATTTCTGCATTCTTGTTGTCGGCATTCTGACTGTCAGCTTCTTGAAAATTGTCGGCATTCTCGCCGTCGGCATTTTGAGATCCGTCAATCCGGCTTTAATGATGCTGCCAGCATGTTAAATGTCGCAATTTTTAATTTCGGCATTCTGGCCACCCTCTTTATGACTGTCGGCATTTAATGTCGGCATTTCGTCCAGAGTCCTCATTTCTATTTCGACGGGACAAACTTCCTGGTTAAACTAAGTTTTTTCCTTTTTTTTCAGATTTTCCCTGAACCGTACAGCTTCAAGCCTGAGCGCTTCATAAATTCCGATGGCAGCTACAAAAGATACGAAGAATTCATTCCGTTCTCGGTCGGAAAACGAGCATGTCCTGGCGAGGGACTGGCCCGAATCGAGCTGTTCTTATTCCTAGCTAATGTCTTTCAACGATTTAAGGTACGTCGCTTCAATTTTTAAATTCTACCTGATATAGAATCGATCTCAATTTAAATTCAAATCTCAAGTACAACCTTGTGTTTTTCAGGTTTCCTCCGATCAGAAACCGTCAATGGAAAAGATTGCCGGCTCTGTCGTTACGGCCCATCCGTATAATTGTAATATGGAGGTTAGGCATAATTAGTTCGCAGTTGCAAATAAATGCTCGAAGTATTTTATTTATTTATTTCTAAAAGTCACGCCACAATGTTTATTCCACTTCAATCGAATATATTTTTTGCTTGGCCTCGACAATATGTCTGGGTAGCGCGATGGCGCTGGGATTGGCCACTGTCCAGCGCGCTTGCCGATCAGCGAAATTTGGGTAGTTGAGTAGCTCGAGGCCTCGAAGCCGGGTAGGTTCCGACGCTCTAGTAAACGCGGGTTCCTAAAAAATCAGTCAAATTCAGCCTATAAATTACCGCCGGGAAGCCGTGAGCTTGTCGGATTTGTTCTTCTAGGGCTTTGTCTGAAATTTGAATATTTCAGCGTTTTCGCATTCACTCTCTCTCTCTCTCTCGATCGCTCGCTCTCTCTCCCCCTCGCTCACATCTCGCTCTCTCTCACTCACTTTCTCTCTCACTCACTCTCTCACTCTTTCCTTCCCTCTCTCTCACACTCCCTCCCTCTCTCCCTCGCTCTTTCTCTCTCTCTCTCTCTCCTCTCTCTCTCTTCCCACCTTGGTCCCGAACCCGCTGAACTCGTTCCTCCTTCGTAAATTGGTGGCTAGCGACGATGTCGTGCATACAGTTCCCGGCATATTGATAGCAGTAAACTGGCCAACAAAAGAAGTATCTAGAAAGCTAAAAAGATTGAAATATTCAAGTTACGATACCGACAAAGCACCCCTCCACAACAGCAACAGCACCAACAACCAAAACAAAAAGTCATCGAGAAAACACCCAAGAAAACGGTAAGTTTTTCGCGGAGGGCTTCTGAAAAATTAGAATTGGAATCATGATAGAGATAGATGGGGAGGGAGAAACCCATATTTATCCAAATCGACTTACCATCAACCCTCGGATGATGATTCTCATCTGTCGTATCCAATAACCATCTAATGGTTATAATTATACCAAGATTGACGATAGTCAACTAAATATATTGCACGTTAAAGTCTTAATTTGAATATTTTTTGTAGCCACTACTTTGCGATTTTTTGAGACAGAGTTAATTTGACTATATAATATTTAAATCATATATTTTAGTTTATGGGATGTATATATTGTTTAGATTTATAAAGCGCCTATTTACTCGTAGTTTCAATACTTACCAATAATACCGCAAGCGTCAAAGAAGTCCAATTTTGTGTTTTCTCGTCATCCGGCTTGAATGCCATAATAATAATGATATTGGTAATAAAATTAGCGTTCGCAAATAATCGGCAACCGGCCGCGACGACATAGTGGTAATCGAAGAATTGGCAAAAACAGAGAGCCAGCGACGGGGGAAATGGTTGGGTGATCGGTGGGAGACAAATTTTCTTCCTGTTCTTTCTTTTTTTGGCGTTTTTGGGACAGGGAATGATATCGGGAGAGCAAGTGGTCGATGAAATGAATGACCATCCAAGTGGGAAGGGAGTAAATCTTGGTCCTGAAAGAATGGTTTCGTCCGTTTGAATGGTGTGGAGAGAGACAGACAGAGAGAGAGAGTGAGTGAGAGAGAGCGACAGAGAGACAGATAGACCGATAGAGAGAGGGCGTGAGAGAAAGACAGAGGGAAAGACAGAGACAGAGAAAGACTGGGAGAGAGAGCCAGAGAGATAAAGAAAGCGAGCGAAAGTGAGAGCGAAAGAGAGTGAAAGAGGGCAAAATTGTCAAGTCTTGATTTCGGCATGTAAAGCAAATCAGCACAAATCTTTATTATGTGGGATCAATTCTTATCGGCCCGACAATTCCTATAAATAGTCCTCGTCTGTGTGCGGCACGAAAAGCCGACCGGACATTCCTGATCCGTCACGCACCGAATCTCCTTGGAATTTCGGTGTTCCTAAGCAAGAAATAGTTGAAAATCGCCCCGTCTGGCCACTTCTCATCAATTGAAAAGGATTTTGCACTAGCATTACGACCTCGACAAAATATTCTCGCGGTCTCAGACACGACTTCAGTGGAAAGTTGTGGTACGTCTTTCGGCACGCTCTTCCCGCAGGGCAGTCAGCGTCCATATTGCAAGTCCAATACTGAAATAGTTCGTATTTTAGAAAATACGCGCCCGGATCCCACGGTAGTATTGAATAAATATACATACAATTTAACGCTTCAATGGTTTTTAAATACCTCGCAGTTCGCTGCCGTAGCCAGAAGCAAAAGGGCCAGGAGTGGGCGCATCGGCTTTGTGGCCATAGTTCGCCCAGCGTGAATTTATAACAAATACATATTGCTCAGCGATCTTCCATGCATGAATCACATGCTGCATAAATCACATTATACCGCAGGAAAGGAACTTTTTTGATGCTTTTGTTGAGTTTTATGTTAGGCAGAATTAATGGTTTTTGCACGAAAAAAGTTGATCTCTGATCTGTCGTTTCAGGCAAACGTGCAGAAAATAGGTCGTAAATCTTCCGGCTGGCAAGAACAAAGTACGTTCTATTTCTCACATGATGCTAATTACCCTCTCTGACCACCAATAGTGAGCGAAACCGGCCTTAACTTTGTAAGGTTGTAGTCGATCGGAAAGAGGAGGGTCGGGTCCCCAAATTGGAGAAGAATCAGCTCCTCAGTGCAAAGAGTGGCAACATTAATAGTGTACATTATGATTAGTGTACGCATGCTGAAGTTTTATCCTTTAATAAAGAAACAGATCTTGACGGCGTCCCTGCCGCGGAGAGAGCACACGTGTTCGGGCGGACAGTCGCCATTGGTGTGGCATACAATGAAAGGGGGCTTTCGGGATTTCTGAAATTTACATACGCATTAATGTGCTCCCCGTGGCTCTACTCCCTGGTCCTTTGTGAAGGGGTATTGGACTGTTAGCGGAGGGGGTTAACGCAGCAATCCTCTGCGGTCCAATAACAAAATGCAAAGAATTTTTATAGCGTTTTATACCGTTTTCCGGCATAGGTACCTTTAAAAAAAACCACTCATAAAAATTTTCGAAAAAATTTGGCTTTTTTGGCGAAAAATTTATGAATGATAGACAAAGGCCAAAATTTTCGAAATCTCAAAAATGTTTAGAATATTTTTGTAAGTTTCTAGCAAGCAAAAACTACCATAGAATGTCATAAAAATACACTATTTATGATCAACGAGTAGGTATAGCCGGAAAAAATTTCGCCCCCCCTCTGCTAAAAGTATCCCCCCTCGCTAACAGTCCAGTACCCGAAGAAGAGAACATAGACGTAGCGGTTTATTTTCGGCATGCCGATAGTCTAATTGAAAATCACGGTCGAAAAATGTACCTCTACGATCTCAGGATATTCATCCGGCTTCAGGCACATCATCCTCGAGACGAAGTCTCCAGACGGTCGACAAGTTCTACCCGGCACGCAATCGGATGTTTTGTTGCACGGGCGACGATCCCATATATCCTATTTTAATAAAACTATAATTATACAAATCATAATTCTAACCGATTTGTGACATTAAAGATACCGGAACCCTAAAGTAAACTCTAACTTAAATTTACATCGACATAATCACAGTTGGCGACCGTAGCCAAAAGCAGCAGGACCGCGATAATGCGCATTTGGATTTGATCACCTTTTCCCCGCAGATTCCGACTTTTTTATAAAATTTATGGCCCAGTTTTTGCAGAAAAACTATAAAATCAATTTATTTTGCGAAAACAAACGTTTTTATGGCATGTATCGGCTATTAACTTGGGAAATAATGGTTTTTGAGGTCAAAAAAAACTTGGCGTTAGGCCAGGGAGCAACAAGGCTCGGGGAAATCTGGTTTAGATTTCGAGGCGTCTAAAAAACCGAGATAACATTAAGATTTCGACATTATAAAACTCGACATTTGGAAGTTTCAGCATTATTGCTTGTCTTAACCCCCCAAGTAGTTCATAGTTTCGCTTAAAGCTTTTATAAAATAGCTCCCCTTCGCTGATTGGTCGATTTGCATCCGAGCGGTCCTTACTAGGGCTTAGGCTTAACCTCTATTGGGCCTTAAATTGCCGGAATTCTGATTTATGGTCTGATCGCTGCTGTAGTTTCTCGAGCACGTTGCAGAGAAGCTTGCGGAATATGGGATTTTTGCTGGGTAAACAATCAGAGGCCATTAAGAAAATCTGTAGGTTCTTTATCGGTATCGTAGGCAAATGTCTTGATTATTACTCAGTCAGCGCGACAGGTCTTCGACGGCACGACGACGTGCGGCACGAGTAGCCGGCCGGACATTCATCATCCGTCGCGCACCGGAGGCCCTCATCCGAATGTTGGGGCTTAAGGTTGTAAAAGTTTCATCATAAATAAAACAAGTTTCGATAAAAGGCAATCCAGCGCAATGCCCCACCATTGATCGGTATTCTCGCGGCCTCAGACATGACTTCAGCGGAAAGTTGTGGTACGACTTTCGACATGACCTACCCGCAAGGCAATCAGCGTCCACCTTGCAGGTCCAATACGGATTCCGGGCCTATTTTTCCGGATTACTTTCGAAAAGTCGATATTTGTGATGCCAAAATTTCTGAATGCCGATATTTATAATGTCGGTATTTCAATGCGAAAATTTTAAAATTTTCGCAAATATCTGTTCACAATTTCAATTGGAAATATCGTTTTTTAGGAGATACCTCGCAGTTGGCGATCGTGACCAGAAGAAATAAAAGTGCCAGGAATGAGCGCATTATGGCTTTTGGCCAGATCTCCCCGGCTTTCCATTTTATACCAATAACGATCGGTGCGTCCAATGAAATAAAACATTATGTACAGCAGTAAAACGAGCAGATTTTGATTCGTTTTTCGATTGTCAAAAATGGAAGGCAGTCGATGGTTTTTGCCACTAAAAATTTTGGTTCAATGTGGGACTCGTGATCGCAAGCAAACAGCTCGTATTTAGGAACCACCTGAATGGAAATTAGGAAAGAACCAGTAGACATCAATGATGAACATACATGAAAATTCATATATATAATTTATATTCAGATACAAAGTATAAAAAAATTTCTGAAATTTTGGAATTTTGGAATTTTGGGCAAAAATATAGGCAGACGGATAAGGTTTTCTTCGAAAAATAATGAATTGCTACTTTTAAAAACCCAGCACTAACTGTAAAGTGTTTTTACTCAACTTGGAGTTTCGATTCGGGACCAAGTGCATCTCGTGCAGAATTTTTTGCTGATTCCGAGTTCGTTTTCCAAATTTGCTACGGACTTTTGTTTAAAAAGTAATTTTTGGTGCAAAGTAAGCTCAAAAAAGCCAAAAGTTAGGATTCTGGCCCACTATTCCCTCCTTGGTCCTTGACGCCCAGGTGCCCTGAAGTAGGCTCTCACAGCCAATTGTCCGGTTGGCACCTTGGTGCATTGGCAAAGTCCTCGCTTGCCAAGCGCAGGGCGGCGGTTCGATCCCCCGCCTTGCCACATCCTTTTGCTTTTTGCATAACAAATCTAATTCTTTTATCAAAAAACTTGTTTTGACCTTTTAGAAGCTTGTCTAGCCAATGTCTATCCAATTTTGACGTTGAAATTGATCAAGACATTTGAAAGCGATAACGGTACCTTGATTTTGCTGAAAAACTCTACCATAATTGCCTTATAACTTTCAAAGTAAATGTCGGTAGCAAATTTGGAAAATGGATCCGGAATCAGTGAAAAATTCTGCACAAGATGCACTTGGTCCCGAAACGAAACTCCAAGTTGAGTAAAAACACTTTACAGT